TCATGGATGTTACTTTAGCACCAGGAGGTCTGAATTATACGCCACTCTCTCCTTTAACCATTTGAATACCAGCAGGGATTTTGTAATACATGTGCTGGCTCCCGAATTTCACGCTATTTATTTCCACCGGGAGGGAGCCAGATCAAAATGCAGTGAATGATCTGACAGCTTTTAGATGCCACAGGCCTTTGTGTAGACTCGGGTAAAGTGTAAAAAAGGCCATTTCAACATATTTTCCAAATGCCTACAATCTATGTAAGTCGTTAATTCAATCCCCTTTGTGTAATTGAAATCAGCAAGCGGTCTAGACTAGAGATATATATATATATTCCTTTTATCATACCCACAGTGTTTGCCAGAAAATAAATATAAAGGACTCTTTTGACCTTTCGAGTACATGTCACACAATGCATTGCGATGCATACTCAGTTAGGTTTCCTCTGCCTGCCCTACATAGCCTGGCATGGATCCTGAAAACATTACACAACTTTCTGATCTTTCTGCCTTCACCTATTTTAGATACAAACTGTCCAGGAAAGTATTTGATTCACTTGGAACACCGCAGAGTGTAGAAAAAATTGCATTGTTATAGTATTGGATGCAAAGTCGTGTAGCTATTAGTCTACTAAGTCATCATTCAGATCAAAGCCCACACACAGCTTTGAAAGCCTACAGCTATTTTCCTGTAAGGATCGTACTTGACAGTAGCCCTTCATATTATCCTTTGAAAAATACAGCTTCTTTCCTATTAATAGAAATATGTTCTCTGCGACATTGCAGCGTTACACAAGAGAACAGAAGACGTTACCCACCCATATCTGTAACTCCAAACGTACGAAAGTCTTGTTATGCGAGGCGTAATCTGCAGTTGCAATCTGTTAACAAAACTAAAGGGTTCTTTCATACATATATATTTGTAGAGATCACTTTTGTTTGCTTTTGTTTAGCAGGCAAAAAAAAAATATATATATATTTTCAGTTCCCGTTCACATCTTCTGCCTTTAAATTCTGGACCACCCAGACACTAACATTCAAAGCTAAAAGCTGTGCACACCCAGAGTTCAAAGGTTCAAAAAAGAGCTACCCAACTTAATCAGTTATTTGCTGCCTTACTTATAACCAGATTGGATGCAAACAGAATATCCCAACAGACTGACTGTCTGGGAATAAGGAATTTCTAGAAAACAACTTCAACTCAAATGCAAAAGAGAGAGAGAGAGAGAGAGAGAAAGGGAGGGGGAGCCCAGATGAGAATAGAGAGTGAACCACAGGATCTCACCCCTCCTTCTTAGAGATTGTAAGAAACAGGACCAAACACAACAAGAGCCACTCTAGTCCTGCAAAGGAAACTGCAGAATGTTTGATCATACTCAGTACCCTTACAATTGTTTTAATTATGATGGAGATGACTACCCAACCTGCAGCTCAGACGAAGAGAAAAAGTACTCAAGACCAGCCTATAGGTAAGTAGAAGCACACTTGAAGAATCTGCCTCTAGATCTTTTTATCCCAACCATTTTCAGCGCACCTCCAGCCGATAAATCAATTAAATTATTTCAGCAGGTAGTGTTGAGATTAGTTCAATCAATTATGTTGCTAAAAATCGCCAGCTGCTCTATTGATCGTGCAGAGAAAATGCTGGAGTTAGGGATTCCCTATGGGTATCTGTGAAGAAATTAGTGATACAAATTTTTTCAGTGTTCTTCTTCAGGCTGTCAGTAAGATTAATGTTGATTTGAAATTGATTACACTATCTGTTTTATGTTATACTTGTAAACTTTTATGCTACTGAATAATTTATGAAAAAAAATCTATACAAAAGAATACACAGACCCTTTGCCAGTACTAAACCCTATTTAACGTGATGTAATTCAATGGGAAACGTACATATAAAAAAGTTTAAAAAATTCATATGTATATATATATATATATATATATATATATATAATGTTGAAAAATTTCTAAAACCAGAATTAGCCCAAATTAATGTGATGTAATTAAATGTAAAAAATGATTTCCCCCCCCCCCCCATTTAATTTAAAGTGGGCTAAATAATTTAATACTCACTCAAAAACAATTCATTTTTGATAAACATTTTTTTTTATAATAGTTTTATTATTCCCGGACCGAATATATATATATATATATATTCATTATGTTACCCTTTGTAAGAACATTATTTCACAGTAAACTGTAGTTTGACGGATACATCATTCTCATGTGCTCATGTTAATTTATTATCATGTTTTTGTTTTTGTTTTTTGATTTCTTTTTTTATAGCTATATTGCTTTAATTGCTATGGCAATCCAGCAAAGTCCTGACAGCAAAGTGACTCTGTCCGGCATCTACGATTTCATTATGAAGAAATTCCCATATTATAGGTCCAACCAAAGAGCGTGGCAGAACTCCATAAGACACAACTTGTCTCTCAACAGCTGCTTTGTCAAGGTAACATGATTATACTTTTTTTTCATCACAGTCTTCTTAAGAACAGTACTGTCTCCCACTTAATTAAAGCCAAGTTTATTCTAACAAATACTCTTTTAATTACGTTGGAAAACTTAAAAATATAATACAAGCAACTAGTTACACCAGAAAGAGTTTGTACCTTACGCACTCAATAATTGTGATAGTATATATATATGTTCTGTATATACATATGTAATCAATATACTAAATAACACTTACAATTTCAGCAGTAAATACCCAGGTACATTTCTGAATAGATTTATTAACTCTGCAAGTCAATGCTTCCGACTCTCCTGAGTTTAGGAAACATAATAATTGATGTATGTTTGGTTGACAGTAACCTATCACCCAGGGGATAGTAGGGATGCTGTGTTTTGTTTAAGTGGCATCAGCATTCATGAGTAACATATATAGAATCTCCAAACAAAGTAGCAAAACTGGATTTACATTTTTTTTTTAAATTAAACAAGGCCTAAATTGTGAATGCTGGTACTCAATTTACTGCATTTTTCCATTTGTTGATTAGAACATTTTATTACAGGTTTCAAGATTTCTATTTTTTTTTAAAGTCAGAATTGATATATACTAGTCATTTCTTCCAAATGGCCAAAACAGTTCTGCACTTTTCCTTGTATAAGATTAAGTTATCTGAAAAAAACCCTAAAAGTTAAGCTTTTCTTTCTAGCATTTGGGAGCAGGATTCTTAGCATACATTATAGTATGACTCTTCGTAAGTTGAAAAAATGAAATCAATAGAGAGATATAGATAGATAGATAGATAGACAGATAGTTAGACAGATAGTTAGACAGATATATAGACAGATAGATGGATAGGTAGACAGATAGGTAGATAGATAGATAGATAGATAGATAGATAGACAGATAGGTAGATGGGTAGGTAGATGGGTAGGTAGATAGATAGATAGATAGACAGATAGACAGATAGACAGATAGGTAGGTAGATAGATAGATAGATATGTAGGTAGATGGGTAGGTAGATAGATAGATAGATAGATAGCATTTATTTGTCTATTACAGATGTAGACAACCTTTGGCACTCTAGATGTTGTGGTCTTACAGCCATAATGCTGGCAAAGTATCAGTGGAGATGTAGTCCACGACATCTGGAGTGTCAAGAGTTGCCTACTGCTGGTCTATTGCTTATATGGTGAGTTATAAGCTGTACTATATGACATACATAACATGAGAGGTTAAATAGCAAACTGTTGATGGGAGCATTTATTACTATTAAAGGTCTGCCAAGCAGTGTGGTATCAATTTATGATCTAATGAACAGTGCCTATTAATTTCCAAATTGTCTTAGGAAATTCCTACTACATGTTATCTAAATCATGCTTCTACGAGATCCATTAGATGTTTCAAGATAATCCAAACTTGATTGGTAACAATGCTTTAAACGTGCAAAACATAAAATAAAAATATATAACAGGTACATTTATTTTTTGTCTACATCCACAGGTGCCAAGAGCTGAAGGGAATGAAAAAGGCAAAGGAAATTACTGGTCGTTTGCGTCAGGATGTGAGTCGATGCTTGATCTGTTCGAAAATGGGAATTATAAGAGGAGGCGAAGAAGAAGAAACATGAAAAAATGTCAGAAAGAAAGAAAACAAAGTCTAACAAAACCACTTCATCCGGGGGACTTCTCTACCACTAACTCGTCCTCATGTGCTATGTCTGGCAGTGAAAAACAAACTGACTCGATAACCGTACAAATGGAATCGGACAGTATATTTCCAAATGATATAACCAACAGACAGAGCCAGACTGATTCCAGCCTAGCAAAGTCCGATGAAATCAAATTTAGCATTGATTATATTCTCTCAGCTCCAGACCCTTTGCCAGTACTAAGATCCCAGCATCATGTTCTAGATAACAAATATCATGTCTTAGAATGCCAACAAAGGAACCTTCAGTTCTGGAGCCTATGACAATCAAGCTAATTCCTAATCATCAGTGTTTATCCATCAAGGTGATCTGTCGGAGCCACGGGTATCTCCGTGAATCAATTCACTTTGTAAACAAGTTTCGGAATGTAACAATTCTATAACAACATCTGTGCTATGCGTAGTCTCGAGAGTAATTTATCTTCATTGCCAAAATCAGTATTTGGCTACCAGTGACATTCTTTTTTTTCTCCTTAAGTAAATGATGTATTAAGACCAAAATAGAGAGTTGAATTGAAATAGAGACTTTAGGTTGTTATGCTCTTGATGAAATGACTGATCGATAACATCATACAGTCCGATTGAACAAACCAACTTGCTTTTCACAGACTCATTATTTAAGTTACTAAATGTGTTGTTATACAGATCAATGTTATATTTTTATATATTATTTTAAAAAAAGAGAGATAGGTGTTTATTAGGTAGGCAGTATGTTTTATGTCCATGTCCGAGCTTAATTTATGCATTATTCTGTTACAATCCGTATTTCCCTATGCAATATTTTCCAGGGGTGAAATATAATTAGGCAATAAACTAGATGACGAAAATGATACACAGAGACAAACACACTTATCTTAGTATTAATTTATGATAAGGTTTTTGCTGTGTGAATGTATTTTTAAATGCATGTTTTCAGAAATATACACTTTTTTTGTGATGTTGGTCGTACATATGTCAATAAATGAAATGTATATAAAGTGTAAATTTTAGACAAAACATATTATAATGGTAGAAAACAATAATTTTCCCTGTCCAGACCTAAATTGACTTAATTGTTCTGCAGAATAACCTTTTACATTATTATTGGTTCTTTTTCAGTGCTTTTTAAATATATAAAGGGAATCAACACAGTAAAGGAGGAGACTATATTTAAAAGAAGAAAAATTACCACAACAAGAGGACATAGTCTTAAATTAGAGGGATTAAGGTTTAAAAATAATATCAGGAAGTATTACTTTACTGTGAGGGTAGTGGATGCATGGAATAGCCTTCCAGCTGAAGTGGTAGAGGTTAACACAGTAAAGGAGTTTAAGCATGTGTGGGATAGGCATAAGGCTATCCTAACTATAAGATAAGGCCAGGGACTAATGAAAATATTTGGAAACTGGGCAGACTAGATGGGCCGAATGGTTCTTATCTGCCATCACATTCTATGTTTCTATGTTGTCCTCCCAACCACTTTCACTGGAGGGCTCTTTAACACACTTACTACCTTTTCAGTAAAATACACTTTTCTCACACTACCCGGCAGGCTTTGACCCTCTAGCATCAAAGCCTTTACCTTTAGACTTCGTATACATCTTTAGAAAAGGATGCCCCCTTTAATCAAATCCAATCCCCGTCTATCTATTCTCAAATCGTCTTTGGTTCCCCCTCTAAATTATCTCCTTTGAATCCGACTCTATCAGAAAACACCTACATTGCGCACTTTCTGTAATAATACTAAGGAGGATTATTGCTTGAACTAATGGATATTTATATAAATTTCAAGCCTGCTGCCTTGTCAGTAATCCACTTTGATATTATACTAAAACAGCTGGGGAGTGTCAACAGTGAATTAACAATGATTTGCAAAATATAGGCTAAAATGTTAGAACTCTTAAAAACGTCTAACTTTACTGAGTAGATGTTTTTCACATGTGCAATTTTTTGACCTGAATTTTGAAGTACATTGTCAACTCACCCACAATGAACTATTCTGTGAGTAGAGACACTAGTTTTTTTGTTGCCTCAACAGGGCTATTTTTGCCTTAATTTTGGAACTCTGATTTTATCTAACCGCAAATAACTATGTATTTAATAAATCCGTTGGTTAACATTCTTTTTGTGTATTTTATTTCATAAGCTGCTGTCTGATTTTACAATATGTATAAATTCTTGACTTATGCCAGCCTTGAAAGCTGTAACTCGTTTGCTACAATCAGAATATAGTGTCTGACCTTTTCAAATTCAAATGTATTCATTGTAGAAAGTTTATTACTACCAAGTTCTCTGCCGTTGGCGTGAAATGGCGATCTCAATAGGTACAAGAGAGGACGATGAAAACTGAATTTGGTTTGCCTGTAAGCCACAAATGTACCATATATTTTACATTAGTGCAACGTAATAAAATACATTTGTGCGCACATTTATGCTGGCATTTGGTATATGAAAGGATATCAATCATATTCCAGGTGGCACACGAAACTGCTGTAAATTTGTGTAACTTTAAGTGAATGGCATTTAATATCAAGCAACATCACACAGGTGTAGGTTTTGTGACCTTATTTAAATGTCGCAGTCAGAACAAGCCATTCCCAGTGCAATTATAATTTAATTTTGTATTCCTTTGTTGCAAATCGTCCGATCGATCACTTATATTAACATTAATACCATATTACCCCTGAGCAAACGTCAGTCTCTACACTGTTACGGATCACTAACTTCCTATTAGAATAGTTGAAAACAGAGCCATATGCTACACAAAATAAAATTAACATAAATTAATTTATCAAACAGTAAACCTTGACGGTTGCTGCCATAAAAACAACATAGTCTGAGTTTTCCATAAAAAACAAACAAATGGATAAATGTGCTGTGCGGTGCTGAAGTATATTTTTTCTGCCCCTAGCAAAGAATTGTGTGGTGGGTTAGGGCACGTAAAAAAAATATTTAAAAACAAACAAATTTGCATGAGTTCCGATATTAAATCTGTTTACTGTTTACAAGGCATTTGAATGCATTGAATTTGTCAACTCTAAAATTATATACAGATGTTTCTATCAGATATTAATTATAAAGAAACACTTGCATGTTTCTAAAATATATGCATAGAGAAAAGTTAATCATAAATTATAAATAAAAATGTGTAAACATCTAAATCTAAAAAGTAAAAAAAAAGATAAATAAATCCCTTGTATATAATGTTAATTTCTAATGATTTATAATTTATGAACCTATTAAAATACACTTGTCACATTTATTTTTTACTTTCATTTATCTCAAACAAGTAAATAAAACACACATTCAGTTATACCTTAAATATATGTTAGTCTGACTTTAATAGGTCACTTATTGACTGCTATAATCTTATAAAAAATAAACATTAACTGGAATTACCCTGAATAGTGTGATATGGGTTAAACATGTTTAATAATGGGGCCCACATTATACCTTCTGTCTAATGATGACAGATGTTCAATGCAGTGGCGAAACTACTGCACGTGGGCCCGCATGCTCAGGGGACTCATCAGTTGGCCCGAGCACTTAAGGCCACCCAATGGGTATTACTGAACTGGGTTCATTGGCCCCAGTAATATCGGTGATGCTGGGAGGAAGTGAAAGCCTGTCACTTCCTCCCAGCTACATATAGCGCTGCAAAGGAGGAGAAGAGAGGAGGAGGCAGAGACCCAGCTCCAGCCAGTCCCACACTCCTATCAAACTCAGTCAGCAGCAGGACACCAAGGAAGCTACCCTCCTAAAAGGTATGTTAACAGGAGGTTAGCAAAAAATCTAAAAATTTATGTGTATATATGCATTGTGAGTGTTGGGGAAAATGTGTATGAGTATGTCTGTCAGTTAATGTGTGTGTGTGTGTGTCTGTCAGTGTGTGTCTGTCAGTGAATGTGTGTGTCTGTCAGTGTGTGTCTGTCAGTGAGCGTGTATCTGTCAGTGTGTGTCTGTCAGTGACTGCGTGTGTATGTGTCTGTCAATGAGTCTATGTGTCTGTCAGTGAGTGTATGTCTGTCAAAGAGTGTGTGTGTCTGTCTGTCAATAAGTGTGTGTGTGTGTCAGTGAGTTTGAGTATCTCTCAGTGAGTGTGTGTCTGTCAATGAGTGTGTGTGTGACAGCTAGTGTGTGTTTGTCAGTGAGTGTGTGTGTATCTGTCAGTGTGTGTCTGAGTAATAGTGTGTGTCTGTCAAAGTTTGTCAAATCAGTGAGTGTGTGTATGCCATTTTATGTCAGTGTATCTGAGAGTGTGTTCCTGTCAGTGAGTTTGTGTGTCAGTGTGTTTCTGTTAGTGAAAGTGTGTTGGCTAAAAAGTGTGTGTGCCAATGACTGTATCTTTCAGTAAGTGTATGTCACTGCATGCATCAGTGAGGGAGTATCTGTCAGTCAAAGTGTGTGTGGCCTTGACAGGAAGGGGTGGGGCAAATTTAATTGTGGGGGAAGAGGGTGCCCAAGTTTCATCATGCCTACGACAGCACAAATTCAAAATATACCACTATGTGTGTGTATGTGTCTGTGTGTATGTGTCAATGCATGTATGCGCATGTCAGTCAAAACTCTATCAATTACTTACTCCTTTGAGCTATCACAGTGGGCTAATTCTCCCACTTGTGTTTTTGAGAGCCTCCTCACCCAACATTCTTAGCCTAAACCTCCACAACTCATCTCGCACCTTGTCAGACTTTCTCCATTATAAATTCATCTTACATTCGTACAGCACAGCTCTCACCCTCGCTAAACAATCCTAGTTTTCCTCTTTCTTTACATCAAGCTTTGACAATCCCAGACATCTCAACATCTCTCTGATACCTACAATTCTCCTCTTTGCCTTGCCATGGCCACCCCCCACACTTACTTTACAGCTGATAACTTTGCATGCTACTTTACTTACAAGATTAACTAGTCCCGAAATAATTCTCCCACCTTTGCTTCCCTCTCTTAACAGCACATGGGCAATGGATTTCCCTACCCTTCAAGCCTTCTCCTCGTTAAATGAACAGAAGGTGGCAGCGCTTCTACCTTTTCTCTCACCCTATGACTTCTCCGTTTGAACCCCCCCTATCTCACCTTATCAGATGTCTCTCTCCTTGTCTTGTGCCATCCTTAATGCATATCTTCAACTGTTCTAATTCTTATAGCATTATCGTCACTCCCCTTCAACATGTTGTACCCATCCCAAGAAAAAGAATCTCTTGATCCATCTTCCCCTTCTAACTACTGTCTCTTATCCCTGCTCCCTATCTCATCAAAGCTTCTGAATCGAATTGTCTTTAAGCGTCAATTCCAACTCTTTCCTCAACCCTCTTATGTCTGACTTATCCCCCTTTCATTCTACTGAGACCTCTCTGGTTTATGAAACTAACAATCTAATAGCGGCTAAATCCAATTAATCTATACAAATTTTTCTAGAAATCTCTGCTGCCTTTGACACTATTGATCATGTCCTCATTCTTCAAACTCTTCACATCCTTGGTCTCCGTGACACTGTCTTCTAGTGGTTCTCTTACTATCTTTCTCAAAGTTCATTCAGTGTCTCATTTTCTCATAACACCTTCTCCCCTCATCCTGACTTGGCTGGAGTACTCCAATGCTCTGTTCTTGGTCCCCTTTTGTTTTCCCTTTACACTGTCTCTCTTGGCAAAAGTATTAATTCTTTTGGATTCAGCTACCACCTGCATTCCGATGACACTTAGATATATCTCTCCTTTCCTGGAGGAGTATGTCAGTGTGTGTGTGTGTATGCGTCAGTGTCTGTATCTGTCTGTGCCTCAATAAGTATGTAAATCTGTGTAAATATGTATGTATGCATGTGTATATGTGAATACCAATCAAATCAAATGCCAACACTACATGCAAACACACCCTTGCAATCAAATGCAAACATTACATACGAACACATAAATGCCATGGCATTGGAGGAGTTGTACGACATATGAGGATCTACTTTGTGCTTGAGAGGTTTTTGCACCGGGCCCTCACTACATTAGTTCTGCCACTGGATGAATGGTTCTCCCTTCACTAACATGGTGTGATGTTGGTGAGGGGAAAGGTCATGGCTACCCACTCACTCGCTCA